GAAAAATGCTTGCAGGAAAGGTGTGTCTTCAGCTGGTTCTTGAAAGATGTGATGTACGTAATTTCTTAAATATTGTATTCTGAAAGTCTATTTAAAATGCCTATTTTTTTTGCTTACATACAAATTTAATTTTGGGGTCTGCTACAATACATTTAAATGATTTAAATAAAAAACAAAAACCAAATTTTTCTCATTCTGTACATTGACCGGAGCCCTGCAGAGTTGGAACAGTGTTGGAACTAAACTCTGCAGGGCTCTGGTCCTCCAGGAATTGAGTCTGACACCCCTGCTCTAGAGTAAAACTTGCTCACAGATTAATGTGAAACAGTGTACAATGTCCATTTCTGGTTTAAATGTTATATTGAAAGTCTGTCCAGAAATCTATGTTAAAGGACAATGCTTGACGCGGGAAAAAAAAGGCCCAGTTTTGACTTTAATTTTCTCACAAGGTACTGAATATGAGGCCCAAACGAAAGAGAATCATCAATTAAAAATCCCAAGTATTTATACTTGGATACTACTTCAGTCTCCAAGCCTTGAAGAGTAGTAATTGAGCATGAGTTTGAAAGTGCAGACTTTCTTTTTGTAAACATCATAAGTTTAGATTTCTCCGCATTTAAAACAAGTTTTAAATCGCTCAGTGTATGCTGAACTGCATCAAAATCAGATTGAAGATGACTCCGAGCCTGATCCAATGTTGATGCAGAGGAGTCAATCACCATATCATCAGCATATAAATGAAAACGTGAATGTGCGAGATTATTCCCAATATTATTAATATATTAAATAAATAATAATGGCCCAAGGATCGATCCCTGTGGTACGCCGATATTTACATTCAGAGTACTAGAAGTCAGTCCCTCTATATTTATACATTGAGATATATCCGATAAGTAATTAACAAACCATCCAACAGTATTTACTGAATATATTGAAATATATTATATTGAAAGTCTGGCCAGAAATCTCTGTTAAAGGATTTTTTTAAAAACATCCTTTTCCAGTAAATCACTTATAACTGAAACGGTCTTGGAAATTCACTGGTGAAAAATTCCAGGAATCCTGTAGAAAGTTTTGTAAGAAGGCACATGTGCAGGGGAAGAGAAATTGATTTTGTGTGTGATGAATGAGAAACAGTGAGTGACTGTATGTGGCGCTCTTCTCAGTGGTGGCGTGATGCTGGTCCATGACATCCGCAGGAATGAGAGCCGGGTCATTGACTTCCGCGAGACGGCACCCTCTGGCATTCACAAGAACTTGATGTTA